TAGGCGATCTGTCTGGTCCACAAGACATCTTAACAACTGTAATATCTTTTCTTGCACGCTCGTCGTCACCCTCTCCTTGACGTTTCCTAATTTTAGCTGCTCGCCATCGGTTAGCACCTCTATGAGATATTTCTTGAAAATTAGTAGATGTCGTGAGGCTTATGGCCTAAAATTATGTGGCCGATCAAAAAAAGAGGGAGTAAAGTTCAATATTAAAGCTGCGTTACTGAATCTATACACAATACGCTATTGAAACAACAGTCGCATAATATCATTCTGTGATGCCCGCCTGTTTGGCCCTTGTATCTCGATTCAACAATACCAAGCGCCATTTGTAATCTTTCATATGAATCAGGTCGGTAGGTGATACCTCCAAGGTCGTATTGTTAGAGGAGAATTTGTCTTTCTACAATAAGTTGGAGAGTTTTATATGTCTTTTGCAGCCGGTTAGTTCCAATTTTGCCTAGAATGTACTAGATGACGACGGCGACAGTGCCATTGAAAGTCGCACCCATCTCTGTGTTTAGACGTTATTGCTTGAAGGCGCTGGACAAAAGAAAACCAAATGCCAGGGGGTAGAATCAAAACCAATTTGCATTGTAGCATCGTCAATCAGCGCCGTAAAGTGGTCAAGATCTTTTCGCTATCTCCAGAAATAGTTAGCGTCATCTTTGCTTTTTACGTTGTCAAGCTTCGAGCTGTGTCATTTGATACCGCTTGTTTTTTAAACCGGAGAAAGCAAAGGTGAGAATGTTTCTATAGAAATAATTACGAGTTACTTTGAGCTCAGAAGACTTCATTATCGATCTGATACGTATGCATTGCATCTTAACGCGATATTTTTGCTTGCCTTATACTAGCCGCTTACTTCATTACATAGCATCCATGTGAAACGACACATATACCTTCAGTTTGGAACTTCTGAATGAATTGTAATTGCTTCTGACTAATGAGGCAAGCTCACATTTTCTCAAAACCTTTTTAAATGCATCTTAGAATGATAGCGATGCAGAGGTGCATTGATTGTCCCATTTATATGGTACGTCCGGGAAAATTTGGGACTCGACAAATGAAGAAAGACAAAGCAGTTATCGTGGGCTTTGGTATCTCACTTGTGGGTATTGCAAGTGTACTAGGCATTTACTTGCCGCGATACAGCACAATGGCACGTCAGGGACGCGAACGCACGTTGCGCAACCGAGGTCTTGCAGAAAATAGCGCCACTGAGCGTATGGTAGAGAAGCCATCGTCTTCTATGTGGAAAAACATTGACAAGAGACGTCGAGAATAATTGGAATTGATATAGAGTATCGAGGCATTCAATTACTAATGAATCTTACCACTTAGGTTTTAAGTACCGAATTTGCTGTTCTTCTTTATTCTATAAGGAACTCAATCCCGCCATTATCCTTGCAATTGTCTAGAGTAAAAGACGACCAAAAGAATCCAAGTTCTTCCAAGTGCAATCGGTCAATTTCGATATAGTCGGTAAATCTTTCTCTCCTCTTTGGGCATGTGACAAAAGCCCCTAGTTTAAAACCGTGCGATCTTTCTGGCCATTGATTGTTTGATGGTACGACAAAGTCAGTAGGGACATGAGCATTACCAAACAGATGCACATATGTGTTTAGTGCTGGCAGCACTACATATTGCCACTTGAATGCAGCAGCACTCCATACAAATCCAATCTTTTCAAGCGTTTCATAGTCTCGTGCAACTTGCAGAAAATAATCTCCTCGGTATCGAATGTTCTGCGCAATCATCCCAAGGTTGATGCCCCTGACTGATAGTGGCCATGGCTCCTTTTCAGGCACAACAAAATCTCGTTTCACGTTGCAATTTCTGTAGACTTGATAATACGTTTGAAAAGCTGGAAGAATAACTTTTTGCCATCTGTGGTCGGTGCTACGAAGATAAAATCCCATCTTCTCTAACTCTATTCTATTTTGCCGCACATAATCCGTCAACGCTAACGACGACCGAATTGAATTAATCACCTTGCCAAGTCGATACCCAATTAAATGTGTCGGCCATTTGCTTTCCTTGTCAGCTTCAACTACAAAATGTTGAGGAACTTGAGAGTGACCATATAGTTTTCGATAATGCTGCAATGCAGGCATAAAGAGATCATTCCACTTGTAATCTGCTACTGTCCATATAAATCCGATATCTGCAAGGTCTTGAACCTGTTGTACCGTTAGTTTCTCTCGACTCTGGCGCAGAGTATTCACATGTGCGCCTAGTTTCAGTCCCCACGTTGCATTTGGCCATTGTTGATCTCTTTCAGGAACAATAAACTTGCGCGGGACAGATAAATTCCCTATAATCTGCTTATATGTCTTTAGAGCTGGGAGTGTCACCTCTTCCCACTGAAATTGATTCCAGTCACGAAGTTTTGGAAATCCGATACCGTCTAGTTGCATGCGCACACTCTGGATCTTCATAGATCTTTCAGTATTCGAAGCATGAACAAAGTTACGGAGTATGCGACCCAAATTAAGACCGCGTGTCTCCTTTGGCCAGGGATTATGGGTCGAATTAAGATATTCAGATTGTGGAACCTGAAAGTTGTAAGGCACGAGAAAGTGGCCATTTAGCTCATAAAATACTTGCAGAGAAGTTGGAAGCAATGCGAAACAATTGGATGTTCGCTTTGAGCTGACAAAGCGACGAGATCTGAAGAGCATTTGACGCTGCATGTGACAAGTTGTCATTTTTATTTGGAAATTTAGACTAAGGAATATTCTATCACTTTCAGTGATATTAATTCGATATTACTACTTTATTCTCTGGTCATTATTAATGAACAACAAAGAGGAACAGCAACCAGCTCATAATGTGGTGTCCACGGCAGTTCTTCTGGTATCTGCGGTATTTTTAAGCGGAGGTGTGCAAATATTATACCGTTAGATCGTTTAATTGAAGTCAAAACTTTGTGTAATATTTACTGGTGTAGGTTTCTATCATGGGATGACGAAACAGACGAAAGCGCTAGAAAAGGAAGAGAAAAAAAACATGTCAGTGTTGAAAAGAGAGAGCATAAAATCTATCGATGCTTTAGCTTTGGATCATAAATTTAAGTTAAAGAAGCCACAAGCACCTAGTATAGCGGCTTGGAAGGCTTTACTGGGCGTGACACTTGTCTCGGTCACAGGTTGCGGGGTCCTAATAGGCGGAGCTGCTATTGCTATTGGAGTTACTGATGTGAGTGCTTGACAAATGATAGAAGCAAAGCGATGAGAATTTATAATTTGTTTATTTGCCCGCAGATGACGGAATTCCAAAAGCGATTTCAACGATTTCCGAGGAAAGATAAACAAATGCAGCTTGTGGTCGACAAAGTGGATGATGTCAGGACGAATCAAATCGACATTATCGAGCATCACCTGCATCAGAAGGAAGCAGAGACAGCAAAGACTAAAAATGCAAGATCTGCCGATACGTAGGAATTGGACAAAAATCAGTACGACACTGCGTGTAAAATAGTGAGCTTTCGCGTTGGTCAAGAGATGAATAGGTGCCAAGAATTAGCTTAATTAGATTGCTGATTTGATATTAAGACTTGTAACTTTCACAGCGCAAACGAATAGCGAGAAACGGGCTAATGATAACGCAAAACAAAGTGTAGTTAGATCGATAGTTTTGTTACATTGCAGTGAAAACCTTACAAAGTAATGGTTTACACGCCACACGTAGCGAGGCTCATTATATACGTAGCAGTCTTACGGGCCTCATTCCACCTGTGACAATGGTACCGATGGGACATTTTTCGCCCGTGTTGCCTTCTAGAGACAATACCAAATGTGATGATGTATTGCTTCGATGAGCAATAACATCTCGAAGCAGCTTGCAACCCCGCAAGGTGATTTTGTTGTAACTTAAATCGACAAATGTCAATGTTGTATTTTGTTGTAATGACGTCGCCAAAGTCGCTGCGGCGTTATCCGAATTGATTCCTGAGCATGTCTACACACGTAAGTTTGGCACATAGAAACCAAATGCAATATGAATCGTACTAAATCGATACTGCGAAGGCTTGTGCTGTCAGCTAAAGCTGTATGGAGTTTAACAGCTTCAATAGGTTTCAAAGAACAATAACTCTAGCAGCAAAAAAAGCAGCTTGTCAGAAATATTCGTCATTGCATAACTAATTCCTACCAAGTCAAGTGTAGTAAGAGACTGTGTGTTTGCAATCAGCTCAGCCAATGCACTTCCCACTGTCGTATCAGCGCCAAAACAATCTTGAAACAATGCAGTTTCTAAAACTGAATGAGACTTTAATGCCCCCAGTACTGCCAAGGCAGCCACTTCATCCAGTTTGTTTTCACGATAATTTAGATATCGTATCGATGTATTTTGTTGCAAGCCGCGAGCAATGTTAACGTTTCCTTGACTTGTAAACTCATTGCAAGAAATATCCAAGTGCGTCAAAGAACACGTATAACGCAGTAGATGAGCCAAAGGAGCTGAGACTTCGTCTGATAAGCCCGTATTGCTGAGCAGAAGTGTTTGAAGTGTCGAGTTGAAACGATCTTTTTCGCCGTATGATTCTACGGAGCGAGTATTCGTCAGTGCATATTTCAGACGCTTTGCAAGTTGTACTTTCAGTCTTTCTTCTTCTGTTAGAGGTTTTGGTGACAGTGCTTGGAAAAGCTCGACAGCTTTTTTATCTCCGATTCCATTATGACTTAGCTTGAGTACAAGAAGAGAACGATTGACACGCATTGTATCTCCAAGCCATGGTATAATGCCATCTTTACTTATTCGATTGTGCGTCAAATCAAGTAATTGAAGACTCGAATTCGTTGCTAGTGCTTTGGCTAACGAAGCTGATCCAATCTCTCCAATAGCATTATAACTAAGCGTGAGTTCTAGCAAACATCTATTATGTCCAAGTTCGTAAGCGAAAGGAATAATTTCAGCATCAGTGAGATGATTTCCGTTCAATGATAGAGTCGTAATAAAGCGCTAGAAGTTGTGAAAGGTGAATCTTGCTGTTTAATGCTTGTCATACGTCCAAAGCTTTTGCTTACATCCATTCCAATCCCTCGACTTAAATGTGTCATTATCATCGGATCCGTTAAGCTACCTCGAAGATCCAATCGTCGAATCAACTCGAGTGATTGTTCTTCCCAAGACTTAACTTTTGAATCCAGAAAACTACCCTGCAATATCGTACTACTCAGCGTTGAATGTTCTATTGTTTCTCAAGAATTACCTTTCGCGTTTGAACAATATTCAAACCCTAGATGAACAAGTAAGCTTACCAGAATCATAATCTTCTTTTCAAACTTAGACGTACAACTAAGTATGCCGTGCCAAATGGATGAGAACAAATTAAGACACCATCATAGCTACGAAGTGCCAAGTAAACAACCTTAATTCATCTTCACAGATCAGTCAAAGCTCTTTAATGTATAGATACAATGAGTCACCTTGCCAAACATAGTGTCAATACTTGATTTTGCTGGGATCAAACATTTCCACTTTAATGCTTCATCATCATAAAATACAGGATGTCGCATTGTCAGTAGATAAATAGCTTCATCCACATCTACACAAATATTTTGTTTATGATCTTCTTGCTCATCTGAATCAGTGATTCCTATCATGACTTTGCTTCTCGTGACTGTGATGAACCGTCGCTATATAAATTAGACTTTCAATAATGTAAGAAAAGAGTAAGTTATTGATTTTTCTGTTAAACTAAATGTCATAACTTCAAGACGAAGAGCTTGTTTACTTTCCTTCGTTCTTCCAATGCTCTACCAAAGCCTTAAACAATCCATTTTGCTTCTTCTGTAGCGCCTTAGGCGTATCAAATTCCCCCACGGCACCACGTTCCATGACCAAGATACGATCTGCATCAAGAATCGTATTAATTCGGTGCGCTATCGTAAGGCACGTACAGTCACGAAACTCCTCACGAATGCTGCGTTGAATCTTGCGGTCCGTCTCCGTGTCAATCGAGGCCGTGGCTTCGTCCATGAGAATAATGCGCGAGCGCTTGAGTAGTGCACGAGCAATACACAACAACTGACGCTCTCCTACACTAAAGTTTGAGCCTTTTTCATCCACTGGACTATCCAATGCCGACACAATATGTGCAAGATGCCCTCGACGTAAAGATGTCCAAATCTGCTCGTCTGTGTACTGGTCGAATGGATCCACATTACTACGCACAGTACCTGAAAAGAGGACAGGGTCCTGAGGGATGATAGAGATCTTGTTACGTAGCTCGTGCAGTCCTATTGTGCCAATATCCAAGCCGTCAATAAGAATTGACCCACTGTCTAGCTCCACAAGACGCATGAGAGCTACTACGAGGCTCGATTTCCCAGCACCCGTACGACCGACTATACCAATCTTTTCCTGAGGATGAATCAAGAGCGACAAGTTGCGCAAAACACGGGGCAAGCCTGGGCGATAACGTAAATTCACGTCACGAAACTCAATCTCACCAGCCGATGGCCACTCCTGAGCAGACGAAAATTTGCCTACACTCGTGAGCTCAGCTTCCGTATCCATAACAGTGTAGTTTTTGATACGTTCGACCGACACCATTTGTGTCTGAAGTTGACTGAGCATACGAACCGACCAGTTCAAAGATTGTGTGACGCTAAACGCATATGTAAGCGATACCCCAGCAAGCCCGGCAAAAGCTGCTCCGCGTTCCGGGTTGGCACTGTGTGCCAATACAGCAGCTAATGCAGCAAAGGCTGCAATCAACGTACCGGCAAATTCAAGACGAAGCGCAAGCCAGCAATTCACGGCAAAGTTTAAAAAATAAGCACGCTGATTGCGGTCAATCAATTCTTTATTCCTTGTAGAAAATTGAGATTCAGCGCAATAAGCACGAATCGTTGGCAATCCATCTAAAGTCTCCGATAGCAAAGCAAATACAGGGGAGCGGCTTATAGAATCCAAACGTTGTAGCTCACTGGAGGATTTGATAAAGTATCGCTGTGAAATATAATATCCCACCAACACGGGCACTAAAATGATCATGAACATCGGAGTCACGTATGAAATGGTCACCAGCGTCACCAAAACACTAAAAAAAGTATTCAAAAGCATACTCCAAGTAGCAGGAATACTTTCATCCACAGTATACACGTCCTTGGACAACCGATTTACAATTCGACCCGTAGGCGTCGTGTCAAAGAAGGAAATGGGAGCACGTAAGATTCGAGCAAGAAGATTCTGAAAAAGTGATTTGCTTGCACGTAGACCACCTTTGTAAATGGCTAGAGCACGAAAGTAGAGTGCCACACCGTACACTAAATTAAGAGCCATGTAGATTTCAACGTAATACATCTGTGACTTCTTTGCTTCCTCGTCGCTCATATCTTCTGATTGCGAGTGTTCTGACCAATATGATAGCCACCACGTGGACACCAAACTCACACACTGGGTGGCAATAAAAATGATGATCACGAATAGACCAGCAAAGATGCCGCCAAACGCCATAATCCACGTTTTGTAAATTTGCCAGGGTACATCCCCCACCGATCGGTCCTCGTCTGTCATTAACTGCGTATCCCCGGCATTTTCACTTGTAGAGCGCTCACTTCGCATGGATGCACGACTCAATCTACGATCGAGTCGTTCAGGTGTCGGGTTATCCTCTTCTTGTTCCTCTAACTCTTCCACCACTACCTCTTCCTCAGTCTTATGAGGCTCGTGACTTTCATCATGATCTTTGTACTTCTCTACAAGGTCCATCAAAAGTCCACCATCTTTTTCCATCAGTTCATCATAGGTCCCATTCTCCTTAATCAAACCGTTTTCGAGCACTATAATCGTGTCGCATTCGCTCAAAAATGTCAGACCATGGGTCACAAGTATCACAAGTTTGTCTTTAAGGCATGTCTTGATGCATTCTTTAAAAATGTCACTGCCAACATGGCTATCAACAGCCGACAGAACGTCATCTAATAGATAGATATCAGCATCTTGGTATACAGCACGGGCCAGAGCCACGCGAGTACGTTGTCCACCACTAAGATTGATGCCCTTCTCGCCGATCTCCGTCATATCTCCTCCCGGTAGACTGACCAAATCTTTCACCATAGAGCTAACACGCAGCGCCTCAGTGTATTTTTCCTCATTAAACGGGAGACCAAAGCACACATTCTCGCGAACAGTAGCATTTTGAATAAACGGCTGCTGAGAAACGAACGCCACCGATCCACGGAGACAAACGTCCCCATTACTACAGCGAGCATTTCCCAGGATTCCACTTAACAGCGTCGATTTACCAGCACCTACATGGCCAACAATAGCGATCAAGTCACCTGGACGAGCTTCTAGGCAAACATCACGTAGAATTGGCCCCTTTTTATCTTCTTTATCGAGCAACAAGCTGTCCCTTTCGTTTAAGTTCGTAGCTGACGTGTTGGGTGCTGTATCCCACGTAAAATCAGCGTTTCTCACTCGAATCCCGACGCTGTCAAGATCTCCGGGTCCGACCTTCTCAAGTTCTTCTTCTCGCAAGTACGAGCTTAAGCGGTCCATACTCACACCTGCTTCCACGATCGCGTTTAGTACTTGCGGAAGCATAAAGAGCGGAAATCGGAGGATGTTAAATAGTGCTAGCGATGTCAATGCAGTGCCCACGTCTAGCGTATTGCCCAGCTTTACATACGCATAGAATGATGCCACCGTCACCAACGAAGGGATTGCTGAAAAGAGCGTCATAGAGCCACTACGCGCATAAATATACGTTCCTAATTTGCTTAATTCCTCGCTTCGATATTCCAACACACGTTTTGTAAATGAGTGTTCCCACGCTTGCATCTTGATAACTTTCATTCCGGCTAATACTTCATTGCAAATTTTGATCCTTTCATCTTTCACTTCCATTAGTTTCAACTGCAATCGTCGCATGAGTTTCGATATTCCAGCTGTGATTGGAAGCATTAAGATGATAACTGCTACTCCAGCAAACGTTGCTGGACCAATCTGTCTCCACAAAAGGTAACACGCTACCGTAATTTGAAAAAAGCTAAACCAGACACTATTAATGTACGTCGAGAGTTCTTGTAATCTCTGAGCATCAATACTCATAAGATTCGTAATCTCACCCGTTGTCTTCTTTTGTCTAGCAGCAGCAGATAACGCCAAACTCTTGTCGTATACGGCAGTGCACACAGCCGAACGGACCCTCATTCCTGCTTCAAAACAGTGAAAAAAGTAATTTCGCAAGAGAAACGATTGCATTACGCCAGACACAAAGACAATTCCAGCATAGAGAAGGCCTTCCTGTAGTGTAGCCTCCGGGTTTTGCAAATACGCAATGATTTGCTTGATTAACATAGGCGCTACAAATTGTAAGATATCGTGGATTAGTTTTAAAAGACCAGCCTTAGCAATTTGTCCGCCAAAGCACGAGATGAGAGTCATCGAGAGACTCGGTTTGTCGGAAGATTTACTGCATTGCTTTTTCCAAGCCTCTTGAAACTCAGTAGATACCTCATGAGCACGATTGGTTGGATCTAAAAGATACAGATCATCGTGCTCGAGTGGTCGCTGATTCCCCAGCTCCATGAGCGGCGTCACCCATGAGAAGAGCGCTGATGAAATACAATTTGCATCCTGAGACGGGTATCGATCACCAAGACCCGACAAAGGATGAGTTGACTCATCATATTGATGAAAAGACACGTGACGTTTATCGAGAAGAGGACGTTGTTCCTCCATCGCTTGCGTCTTAGTGACGTGTAGCTTGCCAGCCATCGTCGTGGTGTTTTCAGTTATGTAAGATCTCAGAAACAGTTTGAGATCGTGTGTCCTACATCATATCATAACCTCCTATTGAGAATTATTGGACAGTTAAATCTGTTCATCATATTCCACGACAAATTATGAGAAGAAAACGGCCTAAGTACGCTCTTTCCCATAGCAGACGGCACGCAGCCAACACGCTGATCATAATAATCAGAGCATTCTATGTGTCGACGGCGTTTCAGTCTTGCTGATTGTCGCATGAATATTTGTACTGCTTGTCATATGACGACGGAAAGAGATAAACGTCTCCAACCGCTCGTTGCTTGGTTTGTATTCGCGATTTTTTATGTGTTTGCGCTGGGAAACTCACTTGTCGTCAAGCTTGTTATTGCTAAAGATACCAAACATCGGGTCGTAACCTGCTCGTTTGCATTTCTCACGCTCCAGGTTGCGTTGCTTGTTATGATCGACTGACATGTTCTTTTTGTTAGAAAAAAGACGACTTGACATCAACCGTACATTTAGCTTCAAGGCATGTAAGCAGTTGCCTGACAAGAGCATACATCAAGCTTATATCCAGTCAGATATATGATAGATCATTTGGTGGAAACAAACACAGGAGGATACTAAAAACCCTTTTCCTAATCACTTTGCATTTGCAGAAAGTGCTCACTTTGACCTTTCGTTGCGCAATGAGCCCAAAGCCTTGTCTTTCCTGACTCCGAAACCGACTTTGCCCTTGCCATGAAACTTCACATCCAAACTCATCAACAAGTTCAAAGGAACGAGCTTCCACACGTGGAAGTTCAAGATGCAGATAGTGCTAGAGAGCGCGATTTACTGGAAGTAGTGTTACAAGAGGTCAAGCCGAAGCATCTCACCTCCGAGCTGGACAGGTCAACGTTCAAGGGCGAGTCTCGCAAAGTGATGACTATCATCTGAATTGCGATGCAAGATTCTCAGGGGGGTCTGCGCAAAGTACATGGTCATGGCTGAAAGCACACTTTGGGAAGAAGAGTATGGCGAGCAAGCTTCTTCTTCACCGTCGCTTGGTCGCGGTCATAATGATGGGTAACGATGAGCTGAAACATATTGACAAGATCAAGATACTGGCAGAGCAGCTCGACGCCGTGGAAGCTCCATTCAGAGATAATGACTTGGTCGTCTTGCCAGTCTTAGCTAGTCGTACGCGTTTATTATCGCGTCATTGGAATCAAGAGCCGACACATTGTCGTGTCACTCAAGACAACTTGGCTGCTCCATGAAAACTTTAAGCGCAAGGAGCAAGGTGGCAGCGTCGATGAAGCCGCACATCAATGAGACCCAGCGTTCGTGACGACTGAGACCAGACGGTGCACGGTGCGACAAGCTTAAAAAACTTGCAGTACCTGTCGCTACTGCGAGGGTCAATGGCATTATATTGCCAAGTATCCAGCTCAAGGTTTTGAGCATGCCGAGCGACAACGAAGCAACGCGTAAATATTGCCTAGAAAGGGGGTGATTCGAGTAAAGACCTTTTTGCTGGCGATGTTGCGTATGTGCACCAAGCAAGTTGCGTGTGGCTGGTTGGCTCTGGTGCAACCCAGGACATGACATACTCTAGAGAGTATGCAAAAATTTCAAGTCAATGAATCCAGTCAATGTGCACCTCGCGGACGACGCCGTTGAGCAAGCGGTTAGAGCAAGTGATACCGTAATGTTGATGATGACTTTCGTGGGGTGAAGAAATGTGTGCTGACCACTGGTTGGCACATCTCGAAGCTTTCGCGCAATTTGTTCTCTGTTTACGTTTCATCAAATATAGGTCCATTGACTTTGAGCGAGACAGATGTTTTGCTGAAGCAAAGGTCTTCGCAGGAAATTTAGCGTACATAATGCAAACAATTATCTAGGCTATAAATGAAACTCATCTACGCTGACGAAGCTAACGCTACAAGCTGTTGGGATGCCGTGGGCAACGCATCGTATCTCCGAAATCTTAGACTTGGTTGGGATTTTAACTCATTATTGTTATGGAGCTGGTAAAACCTAAGGTCAGTGGACAGTGGGAGCTATGCAATGAGTGTACGCTTGGCAAGCAGACTAGTGTGACTTCTATGAAGTCCTAATCAAGTCATGCAAGCAAGTTTCGAAGTTATTCAAAGCGGCATATGCAGTTTGATGCAAACAATTTTGATGGTTACCACTGTTTCATCACGGTTATCATCGTGAGATCATATTACGGAGCCAAATTTCTTCTGAAGACCACGACTGAGTTAGCCGACAAATTTGTTTTCTTGTCGCGCTGGCTGAAATTTAGATCATCAGGTGTGTGAAAACTTTTCGATGTGACAAGGGTGGAGAGTACACTTCTAGGTTAATGGCTAATCTCCGTGAGTTGAAGATAGGTAGTACATACGATACGATCTGATGCGCGTATTACCATCAAGCAGGTGCGATGCTGGTGCGATATTCGACAAACATTGTGTGCTGCTCACTGATTGGCAAAGATTGATGTAAAGTAATCAAGTATATAAAATGAGCGGCTTAAAAATAGCAGCTAGTTTGTAGCTTGAGGACCATACATTTTTTACCTCTAAATTTTCATTCTATCCAAAAAGTGTTTTTGGTTCGCAGCCCTTTGCTCGGCGCTTAAATCTCAACGGGTAATGGGCTAAAGTACCGTGACCTCCTCACAGGATACCACGGCAGAATAAATGGCGATAATCATGCAACGTGGAGTCGCCAAATGTGTGGCGAGTTCCTAATTAATGTGTAGTCAACCGCGAGGTGACTCCAACTTTTGCCGACCCTTGCGCCCCCGACGAGTATGTCAGGATGAGCAATATCGCGTTCAAACTTATGCTTTTCCATATGGACGTGAGCTATTATCACGTGGTTTTGAACTGTGAGGAATCCTGGGTCACGCAAGCCTTCGACTGCAATTTGCAGGAGGCTCACATTAAGCGGCTGTTATTCATCATGGAAATGACGGGGGGCGCCAACGAACTGTAATCACTGAAACGAGGTCTTGTACATCAGCTCCAAGCTCAGCAGCATTAAAGCTAAGATGATATATGAGAATGTTGCTATCTGATAGCTATGCGTTTAGCTCAAAAGCTACGAAAGCGTAGTACCGAATCTTGTAAATATCAGAGCGGAGCTACATACGCAGAAAGTTTTCAAGCTGCTGTCGAATAAAGCCGTCGCGAAGCGACATTGGGTAATCAGAACTGAAGATGCGGCGAGGGCTTTCAGTATCAATTGGAAACCCGCTAGTGCTTTTGTTGTGAAGAGCGGGGATATACGGTTGAAGATACTGGAACAAACAAAAAGATGCGGATGGAGACGGTCGACACGGGAACCAAGACCGTGGACGCGACGCCAACAACGTTCTGGCGAATAAGCAATGATCTTAAGTATGACCGCGTCGCTTATGCTGTATCGCTAGTGCAGCGGGGCTGTCCTAGCTGTTTTGCTCAGAGGAACTTTGGTTACGCTCGATGACCTTCGTTCTGAATGAAACCAGGACGAGTATGGCGGATTGCGAGCCATTTACTCCAATAGTAAATACAGCCTTAACCCAGAGCTACTTAACTCTTTCGCTAAAATATGAACTATATTTTTGGTTATTTGCGGCAAAGCCGCCTGTATCCAAATCTGTAGGTTTTCCTTTTTTGTGTAGTAATCCTAACAAATTGTATAACTACTAACTTTTCCAGCCACGTACTGACTTGTTGTTCAAGTGTAGCCACACCATTATGTGATCACACCATCTTGTGTGACCAACACCATTCAAATCAAGGCACGTGAAACCCCGTTTCAATAAAACCGCCTTCGTCGTGGATTCAGTGGGAATCAACTCAAGTGACGCAGACAAGTGGCAAGATGCGTATCACATCGGAAATTTAAGTTTTGTACACTTGGCCACGATCGAAAGATGCCAGATCAATCGGCAGCATATTAGTGCTTCGCGTCAAGAGAATGATGCAAGTCACGCCTCGTGGCCAAGACTTTTTCACAATAGTATGGCATTGACTACGAAGAGACTTGACACCAGTGGCCAAGCTTACATTGATTCTCATTCTGCAAATTTCGTACAGGCTTAACGTTCACCAAATGGATGTAAGTAAAGCGTTTTTAAACGGACAACTCTACGTAGTCCAGCCTGAAAAATCCCATGGCAATTTCATATTGTGTCGGTTTAGTGGCCGGACGCGCATTATTGAAGTCCAATCCGAGTATTAAGTGGAGAATTGTCTTCTTACACATGCAAAATGACTGCTTGACTTCATAAAACGACTTTTCAAGTTTGCAAGCGTGATGCGGACGATCTTTAATACTACTAGATCATTGTTGATCTCCACGTTGACAACCTGATTCTCGTCATCAATAGCGTCAAGATGCTTCAAGAAACGAAACAAGCACATAATTTCCGGTTTGCATTAAACGACATTGGCGAGCTTCAAGGTTTTCGTGGAGATTAAAAGTGGGTCACGTGTCTACTGCCACAGTGACTATGCGACATACCGGGTTTGCCTTTGATGTCCTAGAGAGATTCATATGCACGATAACTCCCCTGTAGCGACGCCACAAGATCCTAGTCTGATGTCGATCGAGGCATGTGCGAAGGTGGCTGCAATCATGGCAAAATTGTGGCCGGTGTGCCTCACCAAAATGCCGTCGGCTGCCTCCTTCCTGTCATGGTGAGCAAACGTCTGGACCTCGCCGCGACAGCGGAAGTGCCATGTCAATTTGCAGCCGATGAGTTTCCCAAACACTGACAAGCTGGCAAGCGCTCAAGCGACTTTCATGTACATTCCATCCAAGGCACAAGAAGATACGGCACCGAGTTCCAAACAGCAAACGACTCAGGACTGCAAATATTTCAGATGCTTTCTGGGTAGAAGATATTGTGTCGAGAAGTAGCTTGAGAGACTACCCGTTTGTGATGAGGATGGAGTGTACCAGCGGAAAGAGCAAGAAGTACTGCAATGCGGCTCTGTCATCTACTGAATCTTACTACACGATCTTAATACACGGCGCTTCAAAGTCTTTCAATACAACCTTGATGCTATCGCGTTGGCCAAAAGCTTAAATTTTACCTCAGGAAAAATCACATTGACATCCGGTACCACTTCGCTTGCTAAAGGACAAAGATTTTCAGGATGTGCTTGAGTTCACCACACCCTGATTATGCTCGCCGTAATGATGCGGACCAATACTCGCGACTCAGTTTGGCGCTCATCGTGAAAAGCTCGGAATTCAAGGACCAAAAGCGGCCGATTTGAGTAGATGTTTAGCAAGAAGACGATTCGACAGCAGTTGCATGTTGAACTTTTAGGGGTGTGAGTATCCGTCAGACAAGTATCCAGTCAAATATCCACTAGAAAGCTTGGCGGAATTTTATACAAACAGACAACAGGCCTTGAGGTAGCACATGAATGTAATCTAAGGAGCTATATTTGACTCACTTTTGATTCTGCCAAACTATGCTCACCTCGACCATTTTTCGGACCAATACGCCAATTGTTAGGATCAAAGCATCTCATGCAGTGTCAGTGCCGATAACATTTCAGTGTTTGAGCCGGGGGGGGGG